TCAGAATTATGGAGTTGCATTTTTAAATGACTCCCAAGACTCATAAACCATAGCTCGAATAAATGGTGTAGCAAGTTACTTCTTTGGGGGTGTATACGTTCACTTTCTTTTACAACTAAAACCTTTGAGCATATCAAAATGAGTGCTGCTGCAGGACAAATTATTGCTGGAATGACTGTTAGCACTTACAGGAAAACTTTGGGCAATTACATTTAGCGTCACTATTATATCAGGTGTAAAAATAACTTCAAAAATAGGGAAATGGTAAAGAAACTTGCATATGCAGCTGGCATAGAAACTACCAGAAGAGTCGCAAAGTGCTATGATAAAAAAATATTACCGGCTGTTTATTGATCTCAACGTTCTTCTGAGCAACTCCCTAAAGTATGACCGAAGTCAATGCCCTTTCTCCTCAAACTTGTCAAACAACTGACTTAGGGCCTCTCAGGTGTACGTACATACAATGAGAAACATTGAGAACAAACAAGCTATTTATACAAAAAATATGGTGTATGCCACTCGTCTCCTGGTGACCCTTGTTGTGATTGTTGGAAGAAGCTGCCAACCGTTGTCAATGTTTAACTGAAGATTGTTCTCAGCCATGTCTATGGCCTCCATAAGCTTCCGATTTACATGGTTCTGTGTTCTTTTGATTATGGTTGCTTTGAAAGCAACGTCTGGGGTGGGTGTGTTGCCATGTTTGTAGCTATGTGCTCCCCAGGGGGTTCTGTTTGTTGCCAGCCACTGCAGTTCTTCTGTGTTCCATCAATCTCTCTTGAACGGGTCTTTCGTCTCTCCAATGTAGCACTCTAAACATAACACGCAGTCAAGCCTGTATTCAACATTCTTGGTTGCACATTTATCTTCTAGCTCAGCTAAGCATGCAAGACATGGTTCTCGGCCCGGGCATTTTGTAGGTACCAACGCAGATCAAGTAAGAAGGGATTTTAGGGTTGGACCACTCTTTTGTACTAGGAACACATCAAGGCCATACCTCTTGATAGCTCCCTTCCCTTTGTGTGTTGTTGCCTCAGTCACATACGGGAGCACAAGGACTCCATGTTGTCTTTTCTGTTCTTTGAGTGTTGTAGCGTTGGTGTTATTGTATAATAAATATCTCATTACTCCTCAGCATAGCTCCTATTTCCTGGTGCCTCTCTTGATGCCATCATTGCTGTAGGCCACGCTCACTGCTCTGTTTATGTGAAATTTGGCTACTGCAGTCTTTGTGGACTGCGGGTGTGCCGAGTTGTAGCTGAGTAGAATTCCACTGTGTGCGGGTGGGGTTGACATGGCGCTAGCACCGTCTTCTCGGACTATACTAAAGTTGCGCAAATATGCGTCTATGGCGGTTAAGGGGGGTACGCGGTATTGCGCAAATATGGGTCTATGGCGGTTAATCAGTTATGGTCAACAGTGAAAAACTGAGGCAAATCCAGTTATCGTAATGATGTTAACCATGACCTTACTATTGACACAAAGTCCACAGAGTTTAGTTCACAGAAGAATGGTTTCCAACAAGACAAGGCATGCACACAAGATTGCGTGCTAGGGCTAAATCAAACCCGAGCGTGTACTGGTGTGCATGGATATACGGACCAAACTGACTACTCTGTTGCGGAGTTAGCCTTACTATTTCAACAATATTGCTACGCATCATATTTCTGCTAAAACAGAAATGTAAAATCTCAGATATATGGGAATAATGCTGAAAACGAGTGTCATCCCAGTTTTAACTACTACCATACAAACACAACAAGAGAATCACACTTAGATGACTTGGTGGGCCCACAATAACAGACCACCCATGAGTAAAGCCAACAAAGACAAACACACATACCTCCCCATCTGTTCAGCAATACTCATGAATCGATGTGAGAAAACAGAGAGACGAATAGTGTCCAATTCAGGGCCAAGATCTCTCTTTATATCTTGTCCCACCTGTAGCACAAAGTTATGAAGTTTAAATGCACACTTTATTCCTGATAAGCATTTGCTGACCATAATTTCAACATCCCCATATTGAGTTATTCTTGCAGTACAACCAGGTTCCACCAGGATAGTGCTATAAAAATTAAAAAAATGTAAACCCTCACTCCACTATAATAGAATTGTGTAAGCATACACATGCACAGTACTGCTAATTGATGGCTTGGGGCATTTAACTATTAACTCGTCAGTGGCGTGTTCAGAAATTCAGGTAGGGGGTGCTCAGCGCGCGCAGGATCCACGGCGCGGGGCTGGGCGGTGTGCACAGGTGAGGTACGTGTACGTATAAAATGGTAGTGCAAACAGGAAGTTCAGTCGTCTTGTTCGTTGTCGAGAACTTGTACCATTTTCATTTGTCTTGGATGACGCAGCAAACTCATCGATAGCTGCTGAAATGTCCACAGAGATGTCTGTCACGGAAGCCGAACTGTGTCATCGCTGACCTGAATGGCGTCTTTGCATTTTAGCCCACTAAGAGACCTTTCCGCCGAACACATTGTCACTGGCAAAGTGCAGAGAATTCTGAGAAGGGTGGCATGACTAACAGTTGAGGGTTGGGCTTGAAGGTAAGCTAGTTTGCCCATGTTCTTTTAGGTTTTTAGCCATTTTGTTTGCCAGCAGTGCAACTCACTCTGAACGCATTCAACCGATGGAAGATCAGTTTTATCATAAATCGACAAGCTGGCTAAGCTTAGAACTACAGTACCCAGGAGAGAGAGACCATGATGGAAAGCGCTAGATAAAGACCCAGAAGAACTGTTTGTTGATGATTGCCAAACTGTGAATTCATCTCAGAAAGGAGATGGTCTAGCAGAGGAATGGATATTGTACTACGAAAATACTCACTCGGACTGTCAGCTGGGATGTTACTACGATGGATTTGCTTGCCACATATGCGAGGCAAAGATGGCACTGCACCTACATCTGTACACATGTTTTCTGCGATCATAAAACCATTCAGAGTGATCTGATCTCCCACATTCTGAATGGTTGTGGTGACATTTTCGATCTCTGTAACACTACTCACTATATCCTGTGCCTCTGCTTACTATATCCCGTGCCTCTACTGCAGCCTAAGCACCCCCTGGACAAGCCACTGAGTTTCATTGACAGAAGACCTTAAACTAACTGCAGTGGTATCTACCTTCTTATGAAATATTGACATTTTCACATGTACGCGCACGCACGCACGCATGCAATAGTTCATGGTTCTGCGCATGCGTGCAAGCTGTCCTTTGAACTCCTTCGTCGTTAACTGAAAGCGTCGCCTCGTCATTTGTGGAGGTCTTGATTGACTTGTGTTAGCAGCCTGTAGCAAGAAATACACGGATTGAAAAGGTAATGATGGCTGCCTATAGGAGCTTTTGCTAAACGCAGCAGCGACACTTCCAGTTAATAAAGTATGCAGACCGGAGGCCAGGGGGGTGCTCGAGCACCCTAAGCACCCCCCTGGACATGCCACTGCTCGTGGTCCTTACCAGAGAGTCTGCCACGGGCTAGCTACACTACTAGATAGCATGCGGGAGTTGATGCTAGCCATGTGTTATTCACCCAAGGTATGTGTCAATAAGTCTGTGACAAATTGCACTTTGACATTTAGACCTCTTCTTCATGCCATAACTCTCCAATGCAGCAAAGAGCCACTGTGGTGCTGAAGATTTTGGTATTGCTGGTTTGTGTGTGGTGGAAGAAAACTTGGTAACAGACGAATAGACAGACTGAAAGACACACTCACGAACCAAGTTAAAATCCTCCATTGTCTTCCACTTTCCAACTATACCTATATAATATGCACATGTGTCTGCATGATAAAGTAACCTAGAAGCTACCAATAGTCGGGGGCCAAGCACCATAAAAAACGAGAAGTCTTTGTATGAAGTTTGAGCTCTTATGGCAACAATACCCTCCTCATTCAGGGTCCCTCTAAAAAGCAAAGGGAAGCATTACATCTATGTCACATAGCATCATGTGGAAAAATATCACAGGCCACCATTGCCCACATTTGCCTTTTAATAAAACGTTGATAGTGGATGGATTCTTACCTACTTTCATCCACTAAAACAGCAGGACCATCTAGTGAATGCCCAAAAGTAAGATCTCCAAGTTTGAACACTTGTGTTGACATATTTTCTCCATCAAAATAACAGTTAACAACCTGAAATTATGTGAAAACAACAGACTGACCACACAAAAGAGAAGCTCTAAACAAAGTCAAACAGTTAATAAATCTCAGATGTTCAAGTGTGCTGCAGTTGTGCTATGCACGTTCTTCATTAGTTAAACTATTCTTAACACTATGGGCGCCACGCGCCACTTTAATGGCGCGCACGTAATTGCTCCGCAACGCCACTAAAGTGGCGCGGAATTACGTATTACGTGGATGCGCGTGGCAATATTCCACGCATGCGTAATTCCGCGTACGCGGAGAAATTTCCGCAATACTATGCGGTGCGCAAAGTGATAAGGACAATAACTGTTCCCCCAGAAAAGTACGCATTCAGAGTTTGATGTATCTTTTACTCTTTCACGGTGGACAGCTAGTAGTTGATTCGTTAAAAATGTTACTCATACAGCCATATTTTCAGTATGTATCAGCGGAGGTGAACTAGCACGGCTCTGCGAGGCTAGCAGTAGGCCACGTTGCTGAGCCGCACGGTAGCTTCACTGCCCAGGATGTCGAAATAAATGGCAACAAGCCCAGTAAGCCATTGAATTAGGTGTTTTGGCTTTTGGGGATAATTCTTGCCACTCAGAGCAGCGCTGAGGGCCGCAAAAATATACATTGACATGCAGCTTTGACCCGCTTCACCCATCGTCGTTGCTCTTGAATCGCTCATGGTACAATAAATAAATAAAGCATGACAAGAACGTGATGGATGCATAATCAAGGTATATACTTGATAGGACAAAGAACACTTGGCTTTCCCTAGGGCTTTATGAGCATGGCTGAGACTGTATTCCGACTTTATCGTCCACGTAAGGACTATCTAGCCTTACAGTTATCGGTGAAAAACAATGCTGGGCTGGCTACTCATCACTACGTGCATTTCACTAGTCACTTAAGCAAATAGTCGTTAGCATGCTGGCTTTTTCACTCGTGTTAACACAATAACTCTTGAATGCAGCCTTTTCAGGTTATATTATTCATGCCATTGCAGCTCCTAAGTTGTTGGCATCGCCCACAGGCCGCTGCACCTAATTTTACACCACTAACCTCTAGAACAGTAGGAAGAACTTGAGCTTCAGGTAGCTTTGTTTGACTCACAGTTCTGGCCCTCCCAATGCCCCTAATTCTCACATCGTCAACGATGATAGAACGTTCAGGAATAATAAACCCAAACTCTTGCTTATACCTAACAAGGAGAATTCAGACAGTCCCTGATAACTCACAATGTTCACATGGCAATTGTGCAAATCACAGTTGAACGAACCTAATCATTATATCGATAGGTAAAATAAAAATGCTGCGAATATAAAAAAGAGGAATTAGGGATGGTATAAAAAGAAAGGGAGACAATATAGGGATGGGATACATGAAGCATAGTTAACGAACAGATTTGAGCACGGTGACACCAATGACCTTATCACACAATCCCTATATTGTTGCCTGGTGTGCCACTCATAAACTCTAGACTCTTGGTTACTCAGTAGCACAAATTTTCAAGCTACACATTGTTATTGTAACAGTGTTGGTTACTTAGTAGCATGATTTTTTTGGGTATTTTCACGCTGTAAGACCCGACTTAATACTTCACCTAGGCAACAATATAGGGATTGTGTGATGGGTCGTGGGAGTCAGCGTGCTCAAATCTGTTCATTAACCATGCTTCATGTATCCCATCCCTATCCTATCTCCCTTTCTTTTTATATTTGTTTTGGGTTTTGAGTTATGGTGGATGAAGAAGAATAATAATAATAAGAAGATGATTATGAACAAAACTCCCTATCATAGCCCCATACATCTATGATGCTAGGTACCATGCCCATCCCTATATCACTAAGTACCATGTCAATCCCTATATACTAAGTACTACCATACTTAGTGATATAGGGATGGGCATGGTACCTAGCATCATAGATGTATGGGGCTATGATAGGGAGTTTTGTTCACCTTCTTCTTCTTCTTCCTGTTCAACCAGCATAACTCAAAAACCGAAAGAGATAAAGCCATGAAATTTAGAAGGAATGTACATATCGATAACCACATGGGCAACGTCATACTTTTTTGTTTGTAAACAATGTTGTTCACTGTAAACAACAAAATTGCCCCAGGCAATACATTATAATGGGCAATACGTTATAATGGGCATACTACATGTGTCAGTGTAACTCACAATTGGTAAGTTATGTGAGCGAAAGTTTGTATACACCATGTATTCAATAGCCAAAATCACAACAATACATATTTGTAAATAACAACAAATAACCTTAGGCACTTTTCTTTCTTCACTTCTCAAACTTTCCAATGGTAGCACACATAGAGATGAAACCTGGTATGTATGCCTTATATACCATTTCCGTGACGATCACAAGTTTCCATGACGACCGCATATTGTTCGAAAAGGCCTCAGGCAATTTTCTTTAAATTACATCTTCACTCCTCAAACTTGCTAATTATAGCACGCATGGAGGTGAAACTTGGTACGCATGTGTATTACATCGTTTCCATGACGACCACAATGACAAAAAGCCTCAGGCACTTTTCATTAAATTTACTCCTTCACGTCTCAAACTCCTTAATGGTAAGACGCATAGAGATGAAACTTGGTACGTATGCCTATTATATCATTTCCATGAAAACTACATGTTTCCATGGTGACCGCATACTGTTTGAAGAAACCTCAGACGATTATCCTTATAATTATTTCTTCACTCCTCAAACTTGCTAACTGTAGCATGTATGGAGGTGAAACTTGGTGCGCATGTGTGTAACATCGTTTCCATGACGACCGCAACAACAAATAGCCTCAGGCACTTTTCTTTAAAATTGCTTCCTCACTCCTCAAACTCGCTAAGTATAGCACGGATGGAGGTGGAACTTTGTGCGCAAGTGTATTACATCGTTTCTATGACGACCACAACAACAAATAGCCTCATGCACTTTTCTTTAAAATTACTTCTTCACTCCTCAAACTCGCTAATGGTACCACGCATGGAGATGAAACTTGGTACGCCTGTGTGTAACATTGCGACCACAACAACAAATAGCCTCAGGCACTTTTCTCTAAAATTACTTCTTCACTCCTCAAACTCGCTAACGGTACCACGCATGGAGATGAAACTTGGTACGCATGTGTGTAACATTGTTTCCGTGACGACCACAACAACAAAAGTCTCAGGCACTTTTCATTAAAATTACTTCTTCACTCCTCAAACTCGCTAAGTACAGCACGCATGGAGGTGAAACTTTGTGCGCAAGTGGATTACATCGTTTCTATGACGACCACAACAACAAATAGCCTCAGGCACTTTTCTTTAAAATTACTTCTTCACTCCTCAAACTTGCTAACTGCAGCACACATGGAGATGAAACATGGTATGCATATTATTTCCATGACGACAACAGGCATTTTTTCTCTATTATTAATTTTGATAGGGGCTTGCCCCCTTCCCCCTTCCACAGAGATAATACGTAGTAGTATTAAAAAAATGAGTGGAGACAAGTAAATAAAAAATCCTGCGGATTAAAAAAAGAGTGCATATAGGGATCGTATAAAAAGAAAGGGAGACAAGATAGGGATGGTATTTTTGGAAGCACAGAGATGGTACCGAGGAGTTAGGACTCCCACAGGTCATTACAACAGCCCTATATCGTCGTATCGGTGATTTACTACTTCCTCGTGAATATATCAGCCAACCTTGCATACTTTCATTTTGTTTTCTTGCGTTACACAATTTTTCCATGTTTCCATGTATATACATGTAACAATAGACCATGTGATGCCAAGAGAAAAAAGATGGGGAGCTCTGGACAGCTGTTTCGGGCTTGTTGGCCCTTATCAGCAAAGCATACCGCAACTTCTCTCTCTAGCATCACGAGTTTATAAAGGCAAAGTTGAGCGCAGCACTTGTAGTTTTGAACTAATGAGATTCATCCTCACAAGGCGTTGCCAGTACCGAGCCAAAACCCAAATTCAGAATGCTGACATAGGAAATGGATTGGGCCGTGGCAATGAAGCCAGCAAGCACCCATATCCTGCCAGCGCATACACATGTAACAATAGACCATGTGATGCCAAGAGAAAAAAGATGTGGAGCTCTGGACAGCTGTTTCGGGCTTGTTGGCCCTCATCGGCCCTCATCAGCAAAGCATACCGCAACTTCTCTCTAATGTTATGGTCAGCTGATTACACTTCCACCTAAATGCGCACTCCATGGAAATGTAGCATGACAAATCCATCAAAGGTAATTAGTAAGTACTTCATTACCTATAGCAATATTCTACAGACTCTCTCATCACTCCCACTCCCACCCTACGAAGAAGATATAGGGCTGTTGTAATGACCTGTGGGAGTCCTAACTCCTCGCTAGCATCTCTGTGCTTCCAAAAACACCATCCCTATCTTGTCTCCCTTTCTTTTTATACGATTCCTATATGCACTAATCCGCAGGATTTTTTATTTACTTGTACTAAGTACTTAGTGATAATCACACAAAATGAGAAAAGAGTGTCAAAGTGTAAACTGTTACCATAAACCTTGCAAGGTACATAAAACAGTTTGACTAAGAGTAGCCAGAGGTGGTATCATCACCCACATAAATGAAAAGAACTGAAGTCCAAACCCTCAGCGCATTATGCATGAGCGGACCCGCTAATTCATGGGCTGACCGACGAGTATGCGTTTACTCGTGGTCTCCAAGCTAGTAACTCACGTGGGCTCTGACCCAGGCTAGTTACAGTAGTAGATAGCATGCACGAGTCGAGTCGAGTCTTTGTGACTTCTTGTACCTTCAAGGTACACAGAGCATGAGGATCGGTCGAGGTAAGCCAGTTGCTGCTGTTGTGTCGTGCGTAGTCGCAGAAAACGTAACAACAGACAAACAGACGGACAGACACACTCTCACAAACCAAATACCATAACCCTTGCTGTAAGGATTAGGCCTAATTAGGTTTTACGCATACAAGAGCTAAGTAATGGAATTGGGAAATAGCAGCGATTGTTGGGTGTATTAGGATTGATACATAAAGCAAAAGACCTGTTATTCTATGTATGTTCAGAAAAAAGGTAGATAAAAGATCAAAAATCCATGTCAGTGAGAGTCGTTGAGGAGCCAGACCGTTTCACCTCGGCCGCTCCCTTCTTATTCGGCAAAGACTTTTAGCAAAAGAGCATGTGCAATCAGTGTGCTCCTTTTGCAAGCTCGCACCGAGTGGGGCCAAACAGCATCAGTTTTTTTTTGCCACAGCCGGCTCCAACAAGCTGCTCGAGGGGGCGGCGCCTTTCAGCAGCAGAGGAGGAGGAAGAGGGAGTTTTCGCCCATATGCCAGAGATAACTGCCGCCCAAGATCAGATGGCGCGAACCAGAACAGAATCTAGAACCGCCAAGTCAGCACCCGAGACGGTGCACGTTCATCCTGTTACGCCACTTGTACTATAAATACTGGACACTGTTCAGTAAAGCGCGACACGATGCTAGCAGAGCAAGGGCGTACGCGACATAGCCACAGAGATGGCTTCACGGACGGTCCCCCTAGCGGGACGAATTCAGCACTTCCTGTCAAACTGTCAGCTGATCACTCAAGACGAGTGGGTGTTGAATGTGGTAAAGGGCTACTCCGGCAGGATCGAACTCCTGCAGATACCTTACCAACGAAGGAAGCCTCCTCAACTCACCCTCACAAAAACAGAAGAGGAAAGCATGCAGACAGAGATCCAGAGCATGCGAGAGAAACAGGCTATCAGGACAAAAACAAGCAGAGGACTTCTACTCCCAGATGTTCCTGGTACCCCAAGAGGATGGCAGGCAGACCTGAAAAGGCCCAACCAGTCAGTGACGACCAAGAACTTAAAGATGAAAGCATTGCACATGCACAAATACCTACTAAGATCAGGAGACTGGATGGCCAAGATAGACCTGAAAGATGCCTATTTCATGATTCCCATTGTACAGGAGGACAGAGATTTCCTCAAATTCCAATGGATGGACAAGACATACCACTTTAACTGCCTACCGTTCGGGCTGTCCTCTGCTCCATGGGTCTTTACCATGATCATACGACCAGTCGTGGCGACCGTGCGGGAGGTGGGACTGCATACGATATCATCTACATGGCAAAGACAGAATCTCTATTGAAAGACCACATCACAGCAGTGGTGTACCTGCTGGAAAATTTGGGGTTTGTCATCAATCACCCCAAGCCATAGCTGACCCCCACTCAGGAAATAGAATTCCTTGGGTTCACTGTGAACTCCACCAAGATGGAGCTCAGACCACTAGCTAGGGGAGAAGATAAAGAAGATCAGAGCTGAAGCAGGCAAAATCCTGCAATCACAGTTGGTATCAGCTCTAGCCCTCTCCTGACTGATTGGAAAGATGAATGAAGCCACGCAGGCCATTCCAATGGCTCCACTCTATTACAGGAACCTACAGACTTGCCTCCAAGAGGCTCTTCAGGAGGATCAGAGCTACTCCTCAGCCACGGTGTTGACAGAGGATGCCAGAGAAGAGCTGAAATGGTGGAGAGACCACTTCACTCAGTGGAAATGTCAGAGCCTGATAGGTCACAACTCCCCCCTCACCATCGAGACCGATTCCTCAAAAAAGGGTGGGGGGGCGGTGTGCGACGGGGTCCGTGCGGGGGCCCGTGGAGTCCTGAGGAGAGGTCCATGCATATGAACTGTCTGGAACTCCGCAGCCTTTCTGGCAGTGAAGTGTTTTGCGAAGGACACAAATCTGACAAATCTCAAGATGGACAGTATGTCAACACTGACAAACTAGGGGGTCCGATCTCACCACAATTAATTTTAACTCATTGGGGCCCAAAGCACCTCGAGGGTCAACTTACGTCACTAAAACGCAACGGAAACGCAACGCAAAAAAAGAAAAAAAGAATTCGCGGAACTAGGGACCTCCCCTGTTGAAGTGCACTGAGCTATTCACTTCACGCTCCCGAAGTAGGCTAAAACGTTACCTATATTCGGGATTACGTAGGCAATTGCGCCCGTAATGTGGACCTAAACAACCTGGCCAAATAGCTCTGGCTACGGTGCATGGAGAGGAGCATTCACCTCAAAGCTCAGCACCTGGCAGGTGTGTTGAACACCATAGCCGATGACGAGTCCATAGGACTGGGCAGATTGGAAACTGTGTCCAGCAGTGTTCCATCAGATCAACCAGAGGCAGCGACCTCTGGAGGTGGACTTGTTTGCCAGCATACTGACTCACCAACTGCAGATATATGTCAGCTGCAGACAAGACCCAATGGCCAATGCCACGGACGTGTTCACTCTGGACTGGGCCGAACTCAGAGCATACGCCAACCCTCCGTGGAACTGATCGGCAGAATACTGGCACAGACTCGCCAACAACAAGCAGAGCTTGTCCTGGTGGCACCGGTGTGGAAGGCACAGGGATGGTACCCTGTGCTACTAGAGATGTGGGTTAAGATTCCACTCCTGATCCCCCAGGGGGGGAACCTGATCACAGCCACACAGAGGGACAGCCTCCCAGAGGTGGTCCCCTAACTAGCCGTGTGGACTATCTCCGGCAGCACTACAAGGACTGCCAGGTTTCAGAGGGAGTTACAAAACTGCTCCTGGTATCATGAAGAAAGAAGTCCTCCAAGACCTACGACTCCCTATTAAATGGGACTGTTGTCCTGTTTCATGCCCTATAGGGGAAGTGATAAACCTCCTGGCCCACCACTTTGAACAGGGCTACCAGTACCGTTCAATCAATTCATATCGCTCTGCTATCTCATCCGTGCATGAGAAGGTAGACGGTTATGAAGTGGTTCAACACCCGATGGTATCAAGGATCCCGAAAGAGATTTTCCATGCAAGACCCCCTCAGCCGAGATACCCTGAGATGTGGGATGTGTCGAAGGTGACAGCATACATTGTGGCCCAAGGGGAGAATCACTCTCTCTCCTTGGCAGACCTCACTCACGATACTGTGATGCTCCTTGCACTTACCAGACAAACCAGGTCAGCAGACCTGTCCCAACTTGACCTGAGGTTCAGGAGATTCCTCCGAGAGGGAGTGACTTTCCAGCCAACCAAGTTGGCAAAACAGTCCCAAAAGTCAAAACCGCTGGCAGAATTCTTCTTCCCAGCCTTCACAGCAAACAACCTGCTGTGCCCCGTGACTACGCTCTGGGCATATGAGGATAGCACTTGGGAGTACAGAAGGAAAGAGGGGTCAAACCCCCTATTCCTTACCACAATAAGGCCCCACGGTGTGGCCTCTAGCTCGACGATAGCCTGATGTTCTCTATGAATTCTATCTACTAACACTAGTCAGAAAACTTTTTTTTGGCCAAACGTTTCGACTGCTCTGCAGTCCTCATCAGTGGCAAAAAGTAAAAAAAATAGGCAATGGCTGAGTTTTTAAGGCACGAGAGACAGAGGAATGAAAATTAAATTCTAATGTAACTAAGAGAGGAAACAAGAGGCAAGAATGAAAATGAAATAGCAAGGTAGCTAGGTTTGCAAAGGTATATGAAATAAAATAAAGTACACAAAAAATAAAATATAAAATCAAAGTGGGGGAGCGAAAGATTAAGGATAGAAAAGGAAAGAAACACTCTTCAGTGCAAACAGTGATATACAGCTCTGCTGTTAAAAACTCCAGAGAGTTTGCATCTTTTATACAGCTGGTGTGTTTGGAGAGTGACGAGACACTAGTCTCATTCGATGTTGTCTCTCTCTTCACAAGAATACCAGTGGAATTGGCTATATCCGTTGCCCGCTCTCGTTTAGAGTCAGATGAATTTCTCTCCGAGCGCACTAACTTGACCATTGATGACATCGTCTCCCTCTTATCGTTATGCCTCAAAGCCACGTACTTCACCTTCAGAGAAAAACTATCAACAGATTCATGGCACAGCTATGGGCTCCCCTGTATCTGTAGTGGTGGCGAATCTGGTGATGGAATATGTTGAGGAGAAGGCCCTGGACACCTTTCCAGGGTCGGTCGGTTTCTGGAAACGTTATGTGGATGATGTTTGCTGTTCCGTTCGGGTTGCTGACATTGATGACCTTCTGGACCACATCAATAGCATCGAACCATCTATTCAGTTTACCCTTGAAAGAGAGTCTTCAGATCACAAACTTCCTTACCTTGACATTCTTCTACATCACAACAACAACGGTACTATCTCTACCAGTGTGTATCGCAAGCCCACAAATACCAACAGGTATCTAGATTTTTCTTCGCATCACCCTCTAACACACAAGGCAGCTGTGGTGAGCACATTCTTTCACCGAGCAAAGGATCTGTGCTCTACCACCCAACACACAATTACCGAACACAAGACACTATGCAAGACACTCAAATTAAACAACTATCCAAAGAGTTTCGTGCATAGGGTGAGAAACAAAAAGGCTGACATACATGAAAAAAGTACAAGAAATGAGTGGTCCGGATCTATTGTAATTCCTTATGTTAGGGGTCTGTCGGAGGCGATACAACGTCTTCTCTACCCTCTGAGAATTTGGGTTGTATACAGGCCAGCTTCTACCCTCCCGTAAACAACTGGTCAGAGTCAAAGACCCACTTCCTCCTCTAAAACAAGCCAACGTTGTCTACTGCATTCCTTGCAAGACCTGCTCTAAGGTCTACGTTGGCCAGACAAGCCGCCTGTTGGAAACGCGTCTCAGCGAGTACAAGGCAGCAGTGAAACATGCGAAGACTGATGTGTCTGCTGTGGTTGAGCATGTATGGAAATTGGGTCATCAAGTAGACTTCCAATCCACGTCAATCCTTGACCATGAGAACAACCAGTTTCGAAGGTGTGCCCTGGAGTCGTGGCACATACAGAGACATCCCAGCTTCAACAGGGAAGGGGGGACCCTTCCACCTGTATATCGCTGTTTGCACTGAAGAGTGTTTCTTTCCTTTTCTCTCCTTCATCTTTCGCTCCCCCACTTTTATTTTATTTATTTTTTTTGGTGTACTTTATTTTATTTCATATGCCTTTGCAAACCTAGCTACCTTGCTATTTCATTTTCATTCTTGCCTCTTGTTTCCTCTCTTAGTTACATTAGAATTTAATTTTCATTCCTCTGTCTCTCGTGCCTTAAAAACTCAGCCATTGCCTATTTTTTTTACTTTTTGTCACTGATGAGGACTGCAGAGCAGTCGAAACGTTTGGCCCAAAAAAAGTTTTCTGACTAGTGTTAGTAGATAGAATTCATAGAGAATGCAATGTCCTAGTCAACCAAGTATACTTACAATGATAGCCTGATGGTTTAAGAGCACACAGGCCTTCAAAACACACTCTGTGTGAGGAGCTGCCACGACGGCAGCCTCTAAGGCAGGAGTCACTAAATGTGACATTCTTAATGCGGCAGACTGGAGCACTCCATCAGTGTTCCAACGGTTCTATTACAAGCAGTCCAAACAGACTGGGTTGAGCAGAGCCGTCCTCAACCCTGGACACAACTACAAACACACATTGACATGTGAGACGGAGCCTTCTGAAACATAATTACAGAATGGCTCACACCACGTAGTAGTTGCCTGCTATTCTGAAAAAGGTGACGTCGAGCATATCAATGTCCCACCAAACCCTCCCGAGACTGAGTCTCACATTGATATGCAGAGCCGAGACCCTAATGGGTCATAAGAAGTGAGCTTTGACTGATCGCTATAAAAAGGCCTATGAGCCAGAGATGCGGCGCCTAATTATACGAACAAGAGCCGAACACATTGATATGCTCGACGTCACCTTATAATTTCTACGTGGTCTGAGTCATTCTGTAATTACATCGTTTCCATGACGACCACATATTGTTTAGACAAGATAGGGATGGGATACATGAAGCATGGTTAATAAACATATTTGAGCATGCTGACACCCCTGAGCCCATCACACAATCCCTATATTGTTGCCTAAGTGAAGAATTTAACATAATAAGGACTTACAGCTTGAAAATACAAACAAAAGTTACTGAGTAACCAAGAGTACAAATGGAGTTTACGAGTGGCACACCAGGCAACAATATGCTTCAGTATCCCATCCTTATCTTGTCTCCCTTTCTTTTTATACCATCCCCATATGCCTCTTTTTTGTAATTAGGAGCATTATAATGTACTTGTTGAAGCTGAAACTTGGTAGGTATAGAGTCAAAATAGAGTCTCCACAAGCCTCTACGAGTGCCCTTTTTCTGTTTACTTAGAGCGACTCTTAGCAACCCTATCATGCAAATGATCACAAAACAGATTTACCTGCTTGTAAATGACATCAGAAAATTTCCATGACGACTTTCAAAGTGTTGTACTGTGTCTGACGGTGTCACCATCAAAGCACAGTCTGTACCATCATAACGCATATGAAGAAATGGTGTGGTGTATATCACATTTCTGTGGGTTTAGCCAAAAATAACAAGATTAAAAGTAAGTAAATCCTACAAATTACACAGGAATGGTAGAAAAAGTTAGATAAGGATGGGATGCTTGAAGCATGGATTGTGAGCATGCTAAAACTCCTAACCTATCACACTCCTATTATTGTTACTTGCGTGCCCCTCTTAAACTCATTTGGAATCCGTAATAAGTCGAGTCTATTTGTTGTTGTTCAAACATTATGCGGTCGACATGGTAACGGTGCAATATGCATGTGTACAAAGTTTCAACACCATGCGTGCTACAATTAGCTAGTTTTATGAGCAAAGAAGTAACATTAAAGAAAAGTACCTGAGGCTATTTGTTGTTACCCTCGGCGTGCATGCGCAGCGAGGGTACAGTAGTTGGGTCTGTCTGTTTGTCTGTACTCTACATCTCACTCCTCGAACGTCTGTTCGTCCCAGAAATGATACCATCTACCCAACGGGTGACGAAGGTCAGAAAATAAAGGCGGTTTTCTCTGAAAATGCTTCGTTGCAAAGCTAGAGTGCTCCCACCATTGTATATACGGCTAATGCGTAGTCACCCATTTTTATCGCTGCAGAAAATGCGCATGCGCTTATAGTTTGAACAGGCGACCGGGCCGTGTATCTTGAAGGCATAAGAAGTCACAACGAAGGGCGTGTGTCGACTCCCGCATGCTATCTACTACTGTAGCTAGTGCGTGTCACTCTCCGCCAGCTACTAGCGTGGATACCATGAGTAAACGCATACTAAAAGCCCAGCCCATCAATTAGTGGTACCGCGCGTGCGCAGTTCGCCGAGGGTTTGCACTTCAGTGCTTTTCATTGTCCAAGAAACGATGTAATACATGTGCGTAACTACCAAGTTTCATATCCATGCGTGCTACTGTTAGAAAGTTTGGAAGTGAAGAAGTATTAAAGGCCTTGGGCTATTTGAATACATGGTTGTCATGGAAATGATGTAATACGCATGCGTACCAAGTTTTATCTCCATGCATGCTACCGTTAGCAACTTTGGAAGTGAAGAAGTAACCTTAAAGGCTTGGGGCTATTTGTTGTTGTTCAAACGATATGTGAAAACATGTACTACACGTACGTACCAAGTTTCATATCCATGCGTGCTAACGTTAGCATGTTTGAGGATTGAAGAAAGAACGCCCGACACTATTATGTTGTTATACGGGAGAGAACAGAAGAGTGTTCCACCCTTTTCGTCTTTTTCCAGTTCACTACATGACTCAGACAGTAATGAGTGGCATGCATGTACATATTTTGTGTGCATTTCAAAAAAACATTTTGAGTATGAGTAATAATCATTCTGAGCTTTTTATTCGTTTCGGACCACAATGCACAAGAATGCACCTCAGAGCATCTAAATTGAAAACAATATTGAGGGCATGCCCATTTTCGTCAATGGCACCTTCGGTGACTCCCCTCACCTAAGAAGTCTGAAACCTACTAATACTGTGGTAATAAAATATCGGTAATTACTAGCGCTCGCTAACTTATACTCCTTTCTAAAACCATAACAGCTGGAAAGGAACTATTTTCCTTTCCAGTTGTTATGTATAAATACTAGCTTTCACTAGCAGCGACAACAAGGTTACTTATCAGTGCAATGGTAAAAGATGCTAATTAGCCCTGTTATGCAACAGTAGACATGTGTGTGTCAGTTTCAATACTCCCATAAATCACATAATAAGGTGCCTTCCTCCAATGCAGCCGGGAATTACGTGAGTTCGCTGAAGTAAACACACACATCTTTGGACAAATGCACCCATTATGGTCTAGCCATCGTTCTGGTTGCGCAAAATTGAGGCGTGTCTGATGCTTGCGGATTGATTGCACAATTGCACTAAGGAGTCGAGTAGCCCAAGCTATAGGCATTAGATCCCCCATATTCTTCATTACAGAGAACGTTGGAGAAAAAAACTGGGGAATGAGAGTGCCAATCATCAGAACCACATAGCACGTAATATCTGAAAAGTGGGTAAAATAAGGCATACTATCATTGTACAGAGGATAATGTCCTTGGAAGGCCCCTGAAGGAGGGCCTGTCAATGCTCCTGACCACTTCTCTTTCAGGAGAGTAGAAGAGGCTGTTGGTCTTGCAGCTAATGGCCTCTGCAACACTGCATTCGACAGTTATGGCGCCAAGTGAACGAGGCAATATGCAAATTAGCACGGGCAACCTCGAGATGTGCTTGCTCTAGCCAATATGCAAATTAGCACGGGCTTACCTCGAGATGCGCTTGCTCTGCGTACCTTGGAGGCACCAGAGGTTGCAATGCGGGGCGTGCATCAACTCTTGCATGTTATCTAGTAGTGTAGCTAGCCTGTTACCGACTAAGCGACCTAGTAGGAGACCACTAGTCGGTAAAATGGCCCAGTCCATGAATTAGCAGTGCAACAAATGCGCGTACTTCCGTGCGCACATTTCGTGCCTGGCACAATCTGTTCATGCATGCGCAAGATATTCCGTACAATCTCCGTAACATACGCTTCAATTCTGCAGAGAACGTTTACCAAGACTATTGTCGAGCTAAACCATGGCAGATGCACAGCGAAACATGTGCTTCACTTGGTAGCATGCTTATCTTGTCTGCAACCTTTCACAGAAGGCCGTGTAGGTCAGTCTTCCTCAACTATGCTTTGACATGGAACCCTTCTCTAGCAAGCATGCACGTCTCCGCTGAGGGTTTGCACTTTAGTGCTTTTCATTAACCCTCGGCGCGCATGCACTCGAGGGTTATAGAAGTTGGTCTGTGTGTCTGTCTGTCTGTGTGTGTGTCTGCCACCACGCGCAACAAACCGGGCAAAAAGTGACACCAACAGATTCAGCGCTACACTGGCTTCATTTTAAAAATGGCTATTTTCGTAAAAATACTGTGTTCTAAAGTTATGGCGTGAAAAGGTTTTGCATACTTGGTTTTCACGCCGTAACTGTCGAATGCAGCAGTTTCACGGAAAACCCAAAACCCCACACATTTTTCTACCTATACCCGACGCTGAATGTGTGGTATTGTTTGTGGAGCGGTTCATGGCTCGTGAAGTGAGATGTATATGTATTCTTCTATTACTCATTCGCTGCTGTTTTACCAATGGTGGAGTAAAAAGTGTTGCAGAGGCCATTAGCTGCAAGACCAAATAAGGGGGTGGGGTTCCGCGAGTGAGTGCGTGCGACAAAGCTACTAAGTCTACGGCGAACGCTTTCGATATAGCAGCCCGCACAACGCCTGAATTCTCCACTTGTCCCTCGCACGTAGAGTAGGCCACCGATGATCGGGCTACATATACTTTCAGACGCTCTCCTGAACCTTTAGCAATGAGATTTCAATTAATCTAACATGCAACCGATTCTACACGAAAAGTATTACCAGCTTGCAAAACAAGAATGTCCCGCGATGTACACTCGACGTGTTACAAAGCGCCAAAAATCGTATTGGGACACAGGTATATTTGGATTTGGGAATCAAATGCCGGACCTCAGGAGAACAGAGTCAACGTCCGTGGGAAGGTAACGCACCATGAAGGCTAGGTCCGCACTTGCGCGCATGACCCGTCCTGGAAAGAATCCCCAGGGTTAAAAGGTGCCGCGCATGCGCAGTACGGCAGAACAGCTCGGACACATGGCAGCAAGATCTCCAGGCTTCACAGAGGTAAATCTTAGCGAATCAACGCCAATATGCGTTTCAGAGCGGGAGAGGAAGCGTTTTAATGAGTGAACGGTTCTTTTGCACCTTTAGTGTGTGGATGACCTGTTGCATGCAGCATCCTGGAGGATTACGTGCTAATCAGCCAGAGCTTGCAACCTCACATGTGGATGGTGCGCTAATGACGTACAGATATCTCTGTTGCATACTGCATTGTAAGATGTACGTGGTTCTGGGCATTGGGTACTTTATTCTCAAGGTACTGGGCATTGGTTCTCATGGTGCTGGGCATTGGGTATTTTATGCTAGCTGTATTCTGGTTTCTCCACCATGTTGTTCTGTAACAGGGCTGGCTGGTCCACAAGACATTGTCTGAATCACAAAGCTGCCAACCGATAAAAGCAACCATCAGTATAAATATTGTGGGATATCCATTCACCTATTTTCCGTACGAGTCTTAGTGCGCATACACGCTTCTGCGGAAAGTCTTGAACAATCTAGCTTTCCTAACCTAGAAAACTAGACAACTACAACTATAACTCTGGGTAGTTTCACGTCGTCGGTAAAGCTAAAATATCATTGAATTCTCCGCGTTCGCCCATAGAAAATTGCGAAGGATGCTGCGTCCGTAAATAGCCGTTCAGTTCCGTACTTCCCAGACCCTATAAAATCCGTAAAAATACGGAAGAATTCGTATAGTTGACAGGACTGGAATCATTTGCATGATGTGTGCATACTCTTGTGTGCGTTGAAGAGCAAGGGATGGAGGTAACTTAGAGGCTGGAGAATGTACAGTGAAACCTGTATAATCTGGTCACCCTTAGGCAAGGGCGCAGTGTCTTGATTAGTGAGGTGGCTGCACTAGACAACTACAACTATAATTCAGCCAAATGGTCGATCTCCCTTTTCTTCCTTCGTTACACTTGTTAATCTTTGAGGTCGAAATTATGCACTATTTCCAAGACGGTCAGCTAGTGTGCAAGAGACATGACTTTGTTTCTTTTTTCACGAGCACATTTTAGTTGTGTATTATGGCGTAGATCTGTGTCTTCCCCGCTGGTTGTTTTCTTTTCATGTGTTATGTTTATTATACAATACAATGGCGCAGTCTGGGGCGTGGATACATGGCCGGATAACGCATTAAACAGTGACCGCATTACGCAGCGTATGTATGTAGTTGGACTAGTGATCGGGGCTCAGGGAATATTACTAAGGTGACCGTAAACTTATGGGGTTGGTCCACAATGTGCTTTATTCAGGGAAATAATCCGAGCCAAGGCAGCTGTCCATTGAAGGACAGGGTGCTGAAGTCGTCTGGACTGCTGTCACTGCCACATGGTCTTCCTCTGACATCGAAGACTCATGTGAAGTACAAACGCTGGACTGGAATGAAGAGCATGTCGCAAATGCAGTGAAGGCAGTGCAAGATATGGGCTACTCTGTTCGCCGTGCCGCAGAGGAGTATGGTGTGCCGAAGTCCACCTTGCATGATTGGGTTTGCGGGAGACACCTGCCAGGGTTGAAGAGTGGGCCCGAAAAGTATCTGACGGAAGAGGAGGAGAGGGAATTGGAGTTCTTTATAGGTTGTGCATCGGTGGGGTTCGCCAAGTCTCGTAGCCAGGTCTTGAAATTAGTTCAGGAACTGCTTAGGCGGAAGGGAAGGAATGTAACTGTGTCTCATGGGTGGTGGGAATCCTTCCGAAGAAGGCATCCTAATATAACTCTGCGCACTGCCTCGCCACTCTCCTATGCCAGATTTGTAGGGAGCAATCCTTGCGTAATTGGGCGCTCCTGGAGGAGACGCTGGAAGAAATGAGCTACATGATAAGCCATCGCAGATTTTCAATTTAGATGAAACAGGCATGCCCCTGGATCCAGCCCCTCCACAAGTAGTTGCTGGGCGTGGAATGAAGAATCCCTCAGCTCCGCCATCTGGAGATAGGTCACAGATTACAGTTTTGGCCTGTTGTAGTGCGAGTGGCTATGCATTCCCCCTTTGTCATCTTCGACCGTTTATCTCTCAAGCCAGAGCTCAAGTTCCTGGGACCATTTACGGACTCTCAAGGAAGGGTTGGATTGATGGCGAACTCTTTGAGCTTTGGTTTTGCCGTCATTTTCTCACCCATGCTCCGCCAGTCCGCCCTATTCTACTACTCATGGATGGCCACTCCTCACATTACTAACCAGTGGTTATAACAAGAGCTGCCGAAGAAGGAGTCATCCTTTTTACTCTCCCTCCCCACACCTCCCACATAACACAACCGTTGGACAAGGGCTGCTTCGGGCCATTGAAGAAACATTGGAGACAAGAGTGCTGGGGCTATATCAGCAGCAACCTGGGAAAGGTAGTGACGAGGTACCAGTTCTCAAAGCTATTTAGGGCTGCGTGGGAGAAGGGCCTCACCATGACAAACATCATCGCTGGATTTCGCACTACGGGCATCTTTCCCTTTGCTCGGTCAGCAGTTGATCTGAGAGGTTATCATGGGGTACCAGAGAAACGGATGTCACTACCGCAGAGAACAGGCCTGCAGTTCATTCCCCTGTTCAGCCCCCTCAAATCCACTCAGAGTAGCCCTAAACCTCAGGTCCCAGTGTTTGAGTCAAGTGAGATGGAAGTGTATCAGAGACGGTATGATGACATACCTGACCAACGGTACCGGCAATGGGTGAAAATGTATCATCCTGAAAGTCCCTGCATCGAGTCCTCTGCCCAGCTTGAGCCTACTCCTGCAAACGAGATTGAGGGTATCAGACTAGATCACTCCTCTGATCATGAAATTAGTTCAGCTTTTCACAGAAAATTCTATGGAACCGGCGAGTATCACACCTAATTCATCTGTTAACGTGTTACCCAGGTCATAATTTCTCTCACGGTTGCTGGCTGACAAGGCACCAACTCTCAAGACCACTCATAAAGGGTCGAAGGGGGGGAGCAGAGTCCTCACAAGCGCAGATAACTTGAGCAGTCTCAAGGAAAGGGAGAGAAAGAAGAAGGAGGAAGCAGAGCTGAAGGAGAAGAAGAGGACTGAGAGAGAACAGAGGAGATAGGATAGAGGAGGTAAAAGAAATGAAGAGGCTGGCAAAGCAAAGAAAGATCTTGCCTCAAGTTTGAAAATGTCCACTTCAAGTCCAACGTGAGACATTAACTTTAGACAATTTTGATTTTGTTTACCTATGATTGGAACTGGAACCTCACTAATAAGGGCACCTCTTCCGGTCAAAAGTCCCACATTTTTAAATAAAAACCCGTGTAATGAGGACACATCTCTATTCCGGACACTCTGCTCTGGCCCAAAGGTGTCCTTATTAGCGAGGTTCCGCTGCATATACCTGCAGGCACTATGTCAGTATCATCCCCCCCCCTGCAATTCTACCTCCGAGCCAAGGGTAATATTTAGACCAACTGCCTTTTGTGATGCTTACAATGTTAAAATTGGTGGAAGAAGGAAGAGCCCGACCTTCCTCAAGAGATAGCCAAGTGGAAGGTGAGTGTTGTGCCTGTTTGTTTCTAGTTATGCGTGTTGGTGTAGTGCAGGGTTTAAATTGGGAATTGTCCGGTTTTTGCCGCAGGGAGAACGAGAAACTCGAGAAAACCGATTGGCCAGCAGTCGGCGGAGCTTACAGAGAAACAGTCGGTGGAACTTGCCGAGACAGACGGTGAATATGGTGCCATATTGGACTGGGATTTGATTGTGTTTTGGAATTGTGTAGGGGAAGAGGCA